CAGAATAAATCTTTTACTATACTTAAGTCAGAGCAGATTTAATCACAAAATCCTGATTCATAACACTGGAGGAAATGGTAAGTGAGTGCATGCTCAATCTCACCAACTATTTGTATGTTTAATAATGCTTGGAGATGGCTTGAATGGGTAATGAAGAAAAGACTTTTATTCAAAACAGCAAATGTACTGCGTTTCGACAAGGCTTTGTCATCATCAGGTACCTTGTCGAAACGTTGTACATTTGCTGTTATGTTAAACTTGTATTAAAGTGTTTTATCATTACCCATTTGAGCTGTCTCCAAGCATTATTAGTCTCAAAGTGGGTTCCTCATCATCGAATTATTTATATGTTTGTCTTAGCAGTTGGCTTAGTAGATCTGCATATGTGTGTGACTGTGTTACAACTAGAGTATGAAAAATTAGATTTATTATACATAATGCATGATTTACAAAATATAATCAAAGAGTAATGAAGTAGCGGCTGCCAGGACTTTCTTTTTGGGCTATCATCAGTCAAATAGAGCAGGATTTGTACTATTTCCTTTTGTTTTGAGAGACAGGCTTGAGGCAACCAAGTTTTATTGAAGGTTTCAGGATGAGACATGTTTCAATTGGAGAACTGTAACATTTAGAGTTGGAGTGTGGCTAGAATCTGTTGGTAAAACATTGGCTGACCTTAAACATAAGTGTTAGCCAAGAACTCCTTTCTCAAAGTCTAAATAGAGTAGGTTCCTTGAAATCTTGATATATGTACTATTAATATATTATCAATTTATCTAAAGGATATTAAAACTAATAAATCACATTGATATACTTTTATATATTAGATATTGGTAAACTTTTGAAAATATTTTTACACATCACATGAACTTTTACTGGAAAGGCTTTGTATGGTATTCACTGAGGATGATATTGTCTGATATGCCACACTAAGTACAAGTGAACTAGCATAGTTTGAGCTGTTTGTTCAGTTTCGCATGCAGGTGTTTTCCTGTGGACTTCTCTTGAAAAGTATTTTAGCATGAAGGCTATTTGCTTCTTGATTTTTCAGTAAAAAATGTTTGTTGTTAAAAGCTAATTGTGAACTTTTTCTCAGTGATATTTAATGCTGAACGTCAGTAGTCACATTGCACGGGAGTGCTGGGTGGGCTGCCCACCATAGCTACAACCCTGACTTAATGCTAATGGGATATGGTATGATCTTGGCTACCAGATAATTCATATTTTCAAATGTTTATTTTGTTGAATTTCATGCAAAGCTACCCGAGGGCTATCTGTACTAGCCATCTATAATTTAGATTTGATAAACTAGGTGGAAGGCATCTAGTTAACACAACGTTTGGTCTACTCTTTACCAAGGAATTACGAATGGATTAACCTTCACATTATAATGCCACTCATGGTTGAAAGGGCAGATATGTTAAGTGATGGAATTTGAACCCATGACCTGCAGATTGTGGGATGAATGCTATAACCACTGGATCTTTCTAAGCCTATTTTCGAATGAAAGAATAAAATAATTCAAAATTGATTCTGATTGAATAGCAAAACCTTTTGCTCAAGTAAATTTTTATTCATTGAATGGTATTTGTCCACATATTGTATATTGTAATTTACATGGATGTGATACACATATTTCTTTTCTCTTTTGTAGAGGGTTGTTTGAGAAGGACAAGCTGGTTTTTTCATTTATTCTGACAGCTCAAATTCTGCTTCAAGAAGGTGTTCTTAGTAGTGAGGAATGGGATTTCTTTTTACGTGGTGGCACAGGCATAGAGAAAGTAAATATGCTTTTTTTTAATCTGTATACTTGAATGTTACTTTTTTTTTGCAAAATTTTTTTTAACCTCATGGTCACTAATGTGTATCAATTACCTGCTGTTAAAGATAGATCAATCAGAAAATTAAAATTCAGCCTAGAGTAAAATTTTTCTCCATCTTTATTTTTGTTTAATACTTGTTGTTCATCTTATAACACGTGTTTGCCTAGTGACTGCTCGTGCGGAGTGTTTTATTGGAGATTTCAAAGGAATTTACAAATTTTTTTTTTTTGCTTGGCAGGGGTGGTAGTATGGCAGCAGCCACGAGCACATGTATCTACGGGCTAGGCTGGTTTTAACCACACATTACTCAAATCATCCTAGCTACAACCCTGCATTAGGTATAGGGTGAAAATTTCTAATATTAAGAAAAATAAGACTTAACTCTTATGATCATTATAAAAGTATGGATAATGTATTGGTTCATCTTTTCAGTTAACTTCATTTATCTTAAAAACTATTACATTATTTATACTGAATTACAAGAAACATTATCTATAAAGTATATGAATATACCTAGTTTTTTTATTTTTAAGTTACAGAGATTTTCTCACATAAATCTTCAAAGGGTGATGACAAGAAGTTTTGAAAAAATCTGATTCTACTTGAGTCAACTGTGCAGTCCTCACTTCATCATGGTTTTAGTTTTATTATTCATACAACAATAACGAATTTCTCAGCAGAAACAAAGCATGAAAGTATTAATATAAATGAAATAAAGTAGTGTAAATGTGTTAAGGTATTCCACAATTACACAAAATCACGAAGGGTTAACACACAATAAAAGTTAACA